GGAAAACTTAAACAGATAAAAGACTTATTAAAGGAATATGTACAGTTATCCCTGTTTTCAGGCACTCTGTTTGAGAACATTTTAGCCATTGATGTTCACACGGGGCATCAGCCCATGCAAGATAGGTTTCTGTATTTATATATTAAAATACAAAAAAAAAAAAAACCTTATAAAATGTTTAAAAAAATGTTCAAAGCTTGGGGGAAAAGCTTTCTTCATTAGTCAAGGTGTTTTGATATGGTATTAAAATGTCTAATAAAAGATGCACTGTGTGGCTTTATTTTAATGAGGTATTGTTAAACAATCAAGAAATGGGGGTTGAAGGCCTATCCCCCACTCCCTCACCTACCTCCTTAGCCTTCCTCCAGGCTGCTACTTGGCACCACAGGAGTGTGAAGTGGTCTTCAGAGCAGTCATGCCTGGGCAGAGGGAACCTGGCAGGTCAGACCCGAGTCCTTCAGGGTTACTGGCCCTCCCAAGCATCATGGAGTCCATCTGCCATCACCCGTGGAGTGGTTGTGACAGAACGCTTCAGGAAAGATCTGCGGGGGCAAAAGATCTTGCGGCCGGTGGAGGCTGCAAGGATGCGGATTCTTCCAGGTATCGGCCCAGTCCCCGCCTTCCTCCTCAGCTCCCCATCCCACGTCCCGTCCTGCCCTGCCTGTTGCTCAGTCTGCATCTCAGTGCTGACTCATGGGCATGCTTCATTGAGGCCCAGAAAGAGGCCCTGATTTGGGGCTGAGCCAGCTCAGAGCCCTTGAACTAGAAGCAGCCACTCCGGGCTCACAAGAGTTGGCACACCTCAAGCTGGGCGGGAAGCTCAGAGCAGGGGGTAGGGATGCATGCCCGGCCTCTGTCACCGTGCCAGAGGGGCTCCTGGAACGGCATTCCAGAGCCTCCTGCAGAACCTGCGGAGGAAGGCTCTGGAGGGAGATGCCTCCAAGCTTCTGTGCGCACACCCCCCCCCGCCAGGCCTTTTGAGTGCCCTTGCCTCTGTGGGCTCTGCCTCCCCAGGCCCTGTCTGCAGTGCTCTAATGTCACACGCCTCCCGAAGCACCTACTCTGTGCAAGGGCACTGCAGGCCAGTGGGCAAGTGTGAACCAAGGCACAGGCACGCTCGGCATGTTCAGAGAAATGCTAAAGAATTTGTGGGTCTGAGCGTCAGAAAACCCTCCCCCCCCCCCGGGGACCAATCATCCCCAGGGTGGCAAGAGCATGAGCTCTGAACTGTCTGCATGTGAGCTCCTCTGTCGGGCAGAATGATCCTGGGGAGACGACTTTGCTCTTCTGAACTTCAGATTCGATCGCATGTGATCACAATGTTGCACAGCTCAGAGGTCACTGTGAGGGTCAGAGAATCTGCCCGGAAGCCCCTGCCACATGCATAGCAGGCTCCCTGGTAGTCTGTCACTGCAAAGAGCACTGTTCTATTCACAGCACCTCCTGCTTCTGCCTGGCAACTGTGTCTCCCTGTTCTAAATTTAATTCCTCTAGCAAAGCTGGCCCTGGAGATCTCCTTGCCTGACCCCTGGGCCTGCAGGCGAAGGCTTCTGTGACCACCTTGGTGGCTTAGGCCCTGTGGCCTTGGCAGCACCCTGGGTGAGCCAAGTGGTCATGACCCAGTGGGGCAGGCTGGAGCCCACGGCCGGGGGCTATTCCAGGCTCCTGGGGCTGGTCCCTGTCCCCACCCCCAGCGACTTGCACTCCCACCCAGCGCACCGCACGGCAGCCCTCTAGAGGCTGGCTGTGGTGTTCTCCGATTCCGCCCCGGTTGCCGCCAGCTCCTCTGGCGGGGGTGGAACGGGCTGGTGCAGGCTTCCCGGGTGGGACTGGTCTGTCATTCATGCTCCATCCGGGCAGTTCTCCCAAGCTCTATCTTTCCGGGAGGGGAGGGAACCGGCAGGAACTGCGAGGGGGCTTCTGCCCCCTCCCTCCGCTAAGGGCCCAGCACACTTTGCAGGGCTCCCTGGCCAGAAGCACCTCCCTAAGACCGTTCATCTAGCAGCCATTTAACAGTGTTGAGGTTTTTAGAAGGTCCTTATGCTTAGGAGATAGATGCTGAATTCTGTAGGTAAATGGTGTCAAGAGATGTGTAACTCATTCCAGATGGTTCCCCAGAAAGTACACACACAAAGCAAATAAGGCAAAAATAGTCACTTGAGTCCTCAGGGGCTGGTATTTCAGTGAACAGTGTGCTTGTTCTTTCAGCTCATCAAAGAAGAGCCATCCCCAGTAAGGGGAGAAACCTCCACTGCGGACTTCTCCCCTGGGCTCAGGAGCGAGGCAGTCGGGTGGAGGTGGGGGGTGCGGCCAGGGAGCTGTGTGTCCAGACACGCTCGGCTGACGCTTAGATTGTTCATGGAGCGGGGTCGCTTGGGGAGAGCCGGTGAGGCTTGCCCCCACACCACCCCCTTGGCCCAGCGATTGCTCGTGGCTCCGGGCTAGAAATGTCACAGAGGAGCAAACTGGGCTCAGTCCAGCGTTAAGAGTGGCTTCCAAGAACCAAGTTGGGCTGAGGAGTCCCAGAAGGGCAGCCTCTGCCCAGGGCCTGGACAGCTGATCGGAGAGGCAGGAAGGGGTCCAAGGGGTGGAGGCAGGGAAGGAGCTCAACGGTGGCTTGTGGGGGTAAGGGGAGATGGGAGGGTACCAGTCTCCCTGCTTTGCTCACTCAGCACTTTTGCTCAGGGGCCAAGGGAGATGGGCCCGCATGATGGGCTCCTGGGGCGGAGTTTAGAGACTGGCTTCCAGGACACCAAGCCTCCCCCACCCCAACCTCGGGGAAGTAGTGAGGGGGACCCAGGGAAGGGAGCTCTAGGCCCTGGACAGAGGTGAGTCCTGGGTGCCGCTGCCCAGTGCGGATGCTCTGGTGTTGGGCGCCCTCTCGTGGGCTTGGGAACAACCGACAAGTTCACGGACCAAGCGGTCTGGCCAGGGATCCCAAGGTCGGGGGAGGCCCAGGGGAGGGCAGATCCTGGCCTGGAGGGGAAAAGCTAGTAACCTGATACATCACAGCATGGAGCAGTATAACACAAGGAGAAAAATTTCACTTCCATTTCCACTGATTGGCAACAGCCACTTGGAGAACATGTTCAGAATGTTCTTAGGCCCAGTCCAGGCTCAGGTGGGTGGCCTGTCGTGAGGGATGTCGGCCACGGGCCATGATGTCATCCTCAGGCACTGGTCTTCTCACCAGCAGCAGATGGGTCAGGGACCTGGGTCCCAGGAAGCGACTTTCAGTAGCCTAAGCACCATCCCCTCCCAGGCTGCAGTAAGTCAGAGGACAGGCAGGGGACGAGGGACGAGGGACGAGGGACAAGAACAAAGGTCAGAGAACCTGAAGGAGGGGTAGGGAGGGCAGGCACAGGAGGGCGTTCACAGGCACTGTCTGCTCATGTCCAGACTGCTGCAAATGGGGTTCTAGTTTATTTCAGGGGTCCGAGGACACCTACACCAGGAAAGCATGTGCCTGTCACCAGGCAGGCGGAGTAGGGCTAAGAGAGCTCAGTCCCTGAGGCCTTGCCCCTGGCCCCCGGCAGCGGGCAGGCTCTGACCAAGGGGAAGGCAGGCAAGGACCCCTGCAGGTCTGGGCCAAGACAGAACTGTTCCGTGACGAGAAGGAAGGTTCCAGAACAGGAGGTTTCCACTGTCTGGGGGCTGCTGGGCCAAGGGCTTGGAGCCCCTCACAGCACCTTGCCTGGGTTCATGAGGCCTCGGGGATCCAGCGTGGCCTTCAGCTGCCGCATGGTCTCCATGCCCACGGCGCCCACCTCCTCCTGTAGCAGCTGCCGCTTGCCCAGCCCAATACCGTGTTCCCCAGTACATGTCCCGTGGAGTGCCAGTGCCCGCCTGGGAGGCAGTGAGGAGATCCTCAGCAGGGTGCTCCTCTGCCCGACCCCGCCAGCCAAGGGTTTTGCTCTTACCTGCCCAGATGTTCTCCAAAGGCCTTGACCCGACGCAACTCCTCGGCATCCTCTGGGTCCACCAGCAGGATGCAGTGGAAATTGCCATCGCCCACGTGTCCAACAATGGCTCCTGGGGGCCCAGAGGACAGAGCTGCTGCCCCAGCCCAGCCCAGCTCCTTCCCTCCCGCATGGCGCTCCAGCGGGGGGCATGCGGACCTGTGAGTCCCGAGGCCTTCAGGTCCTCCTTGGTCTGCACCAGGATCTCTGGCAGCCGGGAGATGGGCACACACACGTCAGTGGAATAGCCCTAGGTGAGGGCAGGTTTGTGAGCTTCTCCCCCCTCACCCCCTGCCGGCCCGGACGTAAGAGGTCCTTGTGGTCAAGGTTAAGAGCAGGCCTCACCCACAAAAACTAGCTGCTTTTCTCTAGGCCTGTTTCCCCTGGACAACTGGACAAATGGCCAGAGTGAGTGCCCTGCCCTGCCCTGCCCTGCCCTGCCCGCGGAGGCTTCCCCAGCTCTCACTTTGCTCCCCGCCCCGCTCTGTGCAGGGCCCCAAGCAGCCCACGAGGCCGAACCTTTGCACGTGCTGCCTGGAGCCCAGTGTCCCCTTCCTGTTGGCTGACCCCTTCCGCTTCATCATCTCTCTCCAGCCAGCCTCACAAAACCCTAAGAGCACGTGCGCTGTCCCTGTGCCCAGGCGGGGGCTCCCTCCTGAGGGTTTGGCAGACAACTACTTTCCCCACTAGACAGTATCTGAGAAACAGCTGGGTAGGGGCAATGCTGCCCACGGTGGGCCTCAGCCTACTGCTCGGGACAACAGGGTGGTGGGCTGGGGGTGCCGCCACCACCCCAGCCCAACTCACCTTGCAGCCCGGCCGCAGGGCCAGAGCGGCGTACCAGGCGTTATGCCGTGCCGCCCAGAGCCGGCTGCGCTCCTCGGCCTCCTTGGCCCAGAAGAAGTGGGAGGCTCCGTTGTGCTGGCTGATCTCCTCTGCAAGGGGGGTGGGGGGGGCGCGGCGGGAGGGGGGTGGTCCCACGGGGCCTTACTCAGGGCCAGCCTGTGCCCCCCCCACCCCACAGCAACCCAGCACACCTGCCCGCTCTATCTGCTCAGCCAGTGCCCGCTCAGATCCGTGGAACTCGAGGAAGAGTGTGGGCGCCACGGAGCAGGTCAGCCGGCTGTGCCTGTTGCAGGCATCCATCATGACTTCATCCAGAAACTCTGGGGCCGAGGAGAGGGCAGGCGACGGGAGGCCCAGACTTCAAAGGGGGCCTCTTCCGGGGAGCCCCCCTGGACTGCCCAGTCCCCAGCTCACCGATGCGGGCCAGAGGCAGTGCAGCCTGGAGGATGTGAACAGTGGTGTCCACGGCCGCCTGGACGCTGGGAAATGCACAGGTGGCGGCCACCGAGGCCTCGGGGGCAGGGTGCAGGCGCAGGGTGGCAGCTGTGATGAGTCCTAGTGTCCCTTCAGAGCCCACAAAGAGCCCCGTGAGGTTGTAGCCAGCTGCACTCTTCCTAGGCCCCGGGGACACACAAGGTGGGTGAGCGCCCAGCCATGAGATGATGAGTTTCTGGCCACAAGCTCGAGCCGGACGCCCAGCTCCGTCCCCCAGCCCCCTGCCAGGTGGGGGCGTCGGCCCAGCCTGCCATCACCACCGCTGTTCCTTGCGCAGCCCCAGCTGGGCCTGGCGCGGGAAGAACTGCGTCTCAGACCGGGGCGGACTCATTGGCCTGGCCCACCAATCCAGGAGGCCGTTGCCGTGGGCAGAGGGTGCTCACCGGAAGTGCCGGCCGGCGCCGGCGGTGTGAAGCAGCCGGCCGCCAGGCAGCACCACCTCCAGGTTGAGCACGTTGTCCCGCATCGTGCCATAGCGCACAGCATTGGTGCCGGAGGCTGCCGTGGCCACCATGCCGCAGAGCGAGGCGTCTGCGCCTGGGTCTGCAGGGCAGAGTGAGGCCTGGGGCAAGTGCCCGGGGATGGAGGGGTCCCCTCGTGCCCCGGGACCGGCCCTGCCACCTGGTAACCCTCGGGGCCCCAGGGAAGGGCCTCCAGTTCCAGCCTACCCACAGGAAACCAGAGGCCACTGTCCCGCAGGTAGGTGTTGAGAGTTTTGCGGGTGACGCCCGGCTCCACCACCACACAGAAGTCCTCCGGATCCAGCTTCAGGATGCGGTCCATGTGGGTCAGGTTGATGCAGACACCGCCCTGGCAGGAAGCGGTGCCAAAGAGCTGATGGACCCGCATCTTCCCAGAGCCAGGCCACCTTCGACAGGAGCTCATCTCCAGGGTGCCCTGGCATCCGGTCGGGAGCCCGCCCCCCGCCGCCCACGGCAGGTAAGGCAGGTGGAGGCAGCCACAAGTGTGACAAGTGGGAGGGGGCCAGAGCCCAGGGGGGAGCGGGAGGGGCCTACCTGCACGGCACAGACTCCACCCTCAAGCCCGGTGCCAGTGCCAAACGGGATAATGGGCACTCCTTGGCTGTAGCACAGGGCTGCCAGCCGGCTGACCTGTTCCACATTCTGCGGCCACACCACAGCACCTGGAGGCTGGCACCTAGAACCAGACCCTTAGCAGTTTCCGGGAGCATGGTACCCACTGGTCCTGCTCATGTCCAAGGAGCCCCGAGGTATCACAGGGCCTGAGGCTACATGGTGGGAGAGGGATGGGTGTGGAGGAGGGGCAGACAACGCCAGAGCCCCCCTAAGTCGGATGGGTGGGAGAGAAGACAGCCCGGGACCCTTACTCCCAGCCCAGGGCTCTGGTGGGGGAGGGGCCCCCAAACCTGTGCATGGACTCATCGTGCCCATGCTGCTCACGGTCGGCGGCAGCGGTGGACACGTGCGGGCTCCCCACAACTGCCTTCAGAGCCTCCACAAAGCCTTTGCTGAGCTCGCCCTGCAGAGAAGAAACACGCCGCCAGAGTCGCTCAGAGGCCCCTGGGGCCCCGGGGGCAGGTCCAGGAGTGGGGGAGGGGCTGCCGGCACTTCTGCCCCCACCCCAGCCCCACTGACACCACCCCGAGGGCCAGCACCGCTAGGCCTTGCCAGTGCGCCCACTGGAAGCAAACCCACTCTACAAAAATGCCCCTTTCCGAACAGAACCATCGAGATCAATGTTTCACGTGGGGAAAAAACACCACCTGGGTAAAAATAGGAGCCAGATTCACTCTACAAAAAGGAACGTCACAGGGTTCCATAACGTAGCCAGCCCTGCCTTAGTAGCTCGGAAGGGTTACTTATCTCTGCCCGTCCTCCAACACTGCCCCAGGCGCACCGAGAAATGCTGAGTTTGATAAAGAAAGAATGGGAATGGAAAGCCTCCTGGCCAGTCCAGAGGGGCGCCGCCTCCCACATTCTTACCTCCCAGGCATTGTTTCAAAATGTGTCTGCACATTTGGGAGCCCCAGAGAGGGCGCCCTGGAGCCCATATGCTTTTGATTTTACACCCCATTTACAGTCCCATTTGTGGCAGCCGGGGGGGCCTCGGCCCATCTCACTCAACACCCACGCTTGGCAGAGTGAGCCCAGCGATCCTCTGCTCAAGGTCGCAGGGTGCTGATGCAGCGCAGAGCCTGGCGGAAACTTGGCATCTGGCCGCCCACCCTCCAGCGGGCTTCCCCCCCCCCCACCACCTACCTGCGTTCCCCTGGAGCAGTAGCCCCTCCAGGGGAACAGCCCCCAGGTCGCTGCAGCGCGGAGCAGACTGGCCATAGCGGGGTGCGCACTGAGGTGGGTGACCAGGTGGCCGCACCAGCCCATTGGCTGTGCAGCGGGTGGGGCTGCTTAAGGCGGCGCGGCCTTAAGGTGGCCCTGCCAGACCCTGCTGAGTCAGGCACAGCAGCAGGCGCGTGTCAGTACTCCTAAAGGAGAGGTGAGGCTTACCTAACACAAAGGGAAACAGGAGAGCAGCTTCTCGGGCTTAACGCTCTGCGGTGGTTTCCCTTGGTCTCTCGAACAAAGACAGGCTCCTTGCCATGGACTTAATCGTCCCGCCGGTCCCTGCTCTCCTCTCCATCAACCCCACTTCCTTCCAGTCTCCTCTTTGGCGTCTGAGTTCCAGTTTCCCTTTGGGTTCCTGTATCCCCTGAGCTCCAGCTCATCTCAGGGCCTTGGCGCACACGCTTTGTCTCTCTCACCCTGCAAGTCTCAGCTTGTGTCACAGTTAGAGGAGACCGAGAGCAGGACTGTGAGGAGGGAAGTGCATGGAGCCAACTTCAGGGATGGGATGGAGTAGGGCGGTGAGGTAAGCCCGGAAGGCTCCCTGGAAGAGGAAAGCTAAGTGTGCGTTATAGTTCACCAGCTCAGTAAAAGGAAAAGCCAGCTGTCCTTTCATCTCCACCCTCCCGCTGGGTGGATTTCAGAACCATCCTGCAGTGATGGGGCTGCCGCTCTTGAAGCTCTTCCAAGCTCCGTTTTCCTTCCACAGCAAATTTGGAGAAGCATGCTGCTAACATTACTAAGATAAAGCTATTCCCAGCTTTGTTTTTCTTCTCAATTGAATCACGAATACAAACTCCTACTTGGGTCCTTCTCCCCAGCCACGTTTGAATGAATTCACATTTCCACTCTCTGCGTGTTGCTTCACTGGCTTGTCTCAAAAAAACGTCTCTTTTACAGTTGGTTAGCTCAAATCAAGACCCCGTGAAAGTCCACACAATACATTGGTTAACATGTCTCATAAATCTCTTTTCATCTCTAGCGGTTTCCCTCTCCCCTCACTTTTTTCCCATGCCATTTATTTGTTAAAGAAACTGGGTCGCATGGGACTCGTGGGTGGCTCAGTCGGTTAAGCGTCTGCCTTAAGCTCAGGTCATGATCCCAGGGTCCTGGGATGGAGGCCCGCATCGGGCTCCTTGCTCGGCAGGGAGCCTGCTTCTCCCTCTGCCTGCATCTCCTCCTGCTTGTGCTCTCTCTGTGTCAGATAAATAAATAAAATCTTTAAAAATAAATAAATAAAAGAAACTGGGTAGCTTGTTCTGCAGAATTTTCCACATTCTGTATGTGGATGATTGCATCCATGTGGTATTGCTTAGTATCTTCCTTTAGTCTCTGTATTTCACGTAAATTGTTAGATCAAGATGTGGGACTGTCCAGTACAACTTTCTGTTACTTACGGAAGTGTTCTGTAGCTATGCTTCCGTTAGCCACACGTAGCTAATGGTCCTGGAGGTACCTCTGATTGGAGGAGAGACGCCAGGGAGAGTTTGTGGCAAACCCTACAAGAAGAACCCCACTATAGATCCCTAAGGTTTGGGAGCAGGGTCATGACATTTGCAACAGAGACTATACACCATTCAGAAAAGTACCCCTGGCCCACTACTAGGTCCTGGTTATGATGGTGAATGTGACCACAAGATATCAAGTGCCCACATGGTCGGAGGTGGCCATCATGAGCTGTGAATGTTCTATCAGACTCACCGAGTCATAAAGGCAGGTGGGTCCAAAACAAGCCAGCACTAGACAAGAGAGAAATAGACAAAATTGGGCACAAGCAGGGCCAGAGGGCAAATTAAGCTGCACAGGTAGATGGCTCGGATCCCCAGGTCACCCACCATCGAGTAGCCAGCACCTTTCCCTCAGCTCACACCTCCATGGCCGTAACAGGGAGCTCTTACTACCAGCTGATAGAAGAAGAGTTCAAGCTCGATTCATGAATGCGTTGGCTCAGTATGAGGGTGTAAGCTAACAATGGACTGTCACTGCGCTATAGCTCCACTTAGGGGTAACTGAAGTCCCTCCAGTTGGCAGAGCTCCAGGTCACACACCTGATCATCCCCTTTCGAAAAAAGAAATATGGCCCGATAGAAGAATAAGTATAGGCTCCTGGGTAACGGTGAATGGCTTGAAGGAGAAAGATTGGAAAATCAGGGTCCAAAAGGTTTGGAGAAGAGGCATGTAGATGGAATCTCTAGGAGTAAGCACAAAGTGGGATCTCTGGAGCATGGGCATCACACGTTAACACCCATCAGCGAGCATCCGCCACGGAAGAGACCAAACGAAGCAGATAGCATGCTTCTGCCGGTCATCATTGGCCAATGATATCAGTGGTCAGTGCCCACTCCAGTGTTGGCACATGGTAGTAGGGATAGAGGCAAAAAATGAATCCACTAGCATGGAACCCACTCACTACAGCTGATCTGGCTACTGCCACTGCTGGGTGTTCACCCTGCTGCAACATTGAATCTCCCACATGGTACCATTCCTCAAAGAGACCAGCCAGCCTCTTGGTCACAAGTCAGTTGTACTGGATTTCCTCCACTCTGAAAGGGGAGCAATTTGTGTGGGCTGAAATCAACACAACACATATTGTGCGTCTGGGTTTGCCTCTCCTGCCTCCATAGCCTCAGCCAGCCCTACTGTCTGAAGTTTCCCAGAGTATTTGATCCACCAACAGAGTATACCACAGAACATCACCTAAGGCCGAACAACCCACTCTTTTTTTTTTTTTTTTGGTCAGATCAGTGGCCACTGACCTTACAGAGCAATGGTGGAATGGCCTTTGGGAGGTACAACTGAGGCACCAGCTTAGAGATGCATCTACTCAACTGTAGTGCAAGAAGAGAAAGATATTTTTATATAACTAACAGATAAAAGGTGAGTTCAAAATGACTTCCAACTTTTTATTTTGAAATAATTTTAGACTTCCAAAAAGACTGCAAAAATAGGACAGGGATTTCTTATATACCCTTAACTTGGTTTTCACTAGTGTTTACATTATATATAACCACAGTACAGTTGTCAAAACTAAGAACTAGTAAAATATTCATTGATATAGTTAGAGAATTGGTGCAAATTTGATTCCACCAGCTCTCCCACTAATGTCCTCTTGTTTCTGGGGGGCGGTGGGGGAGCTGTTTGGTCCAGGATCTCATCCATCATCTCATTCTGCATTTAGTTGTCTTGGCTCCTTTGTCTCCTACAGTGTGTGACAGTTCCTTAGTCTTTCCTTGTCTTTCTGACCTTGACATTTTGAGGAGTACTCGTCAGTTACTTTACTGAATGTTCTTCAGTATGGGTTGTCTGATGTTTCCTCATGAGTAGATTGAGGTCATCCGTTTTTGGCAAGAATACCACAGAAGCGATGTAGCCTTCTCAACATATCATAACTGTGGTTTAAGATGTCAATATGTCTTATTAGCAGTGACGTTGACTTGGATCACTTGGTTGAGGTCATGTCTGTGTGGTTTCTGCACTGTGAAGTTACGATTTTTCTCTTTTTAATTAACAAATATGTTGGGGTAGATACTTGAAGACTGTGCCAATATCCTGTTTCCTCTCACTTTCATCTGCTATTCTTAGCATCTACTGGTGGATCTTGCCTACAATAGTTGTTTTTGTGGTATTGTTCTAATGGTGATTTTCTACTTCTTTTATTCCTTCTATATAATTTTTTTTCTTTCTATATTATTTAATTAGAATTATTCTCTGGGGCGCCTGGGTGGCTCAGTCACTGAGTGTCTGCCTTCGGCTCAGGTCATGTTTCCAGGGTCCTGGGATTGAGCCCCGCATCGGGCTCCCTGCTCCGCGGGAAGCCTGCTTCCCCCTCTCCCACTCCCCCTGCTTGTGTTCCCTCTCTCGCTGTGTCTCTCTCTATCAAATAAATAAAACCTTAAAAAAAAAAAGAATTATTGTCTAAGGAAGAGCCATTCCTTCTGCCTTATTTATTTCCTTATTCAATTATTTATATATTACCAATATGAATTCATGGATATTTATTTTATTCCATAGGTTATAATCTAATACGGTTACTATTTTGTGGCTCAGTCAGTTCTGGCTTTGGCCACTGGAGGCCTCTGTCATATGGGTTTCTCTACCCTTTAGACAAGCTCACGGCTTTTTTTGAGCGCTGTCTTACTTTCTAGTACTATAAGATGCTCCAGGCTCATCTTGTCTTTCCCCTGATCAGACCCAGTAACCAACCACTTTTCCAAGGACTTCTGGTTCCTTTTAGTGGAGAATAGTATTTAGAAATCGAGTTTTGCATGTTAGATGTGCTCCTACACTCAACAATAAGAAAACAAAAAGCGTGATTAAAAAATGGGCAAAGAGGGGCACCTGGGGGGCTCAGTCACTGAGTGTCTGCCTTCGGCTCAGGTCACGAACCCAGGGTCCTTGGATCAAGCCCCGCATCGGGCTCCCTTCTCCACGGGAGGCCTGCTTCTCCCTCTCCCACTCCCCCTGCTTGTGTTCCCTCTCTCGCTGTGTCTTTCTCTGTCAAATAAATAAATAAAATCTTTAAAAAAAAAAAGGGCAAAATACCTGAACAGACACTTCACCAAAGAAAACATACAGATGGAAAATAAGCATATGAAAAGATGCTCAATATCACCTGTCATCACAAAATTACAAGTTAAAACAAGATGCCACTATGCACCTATTAGAATGATGAATTTTAAAAAACTGACATCAAGAGCTGACAAGGACACAGAGCAACAAGAATTCTCAATCACTTTTAGAAGGAATGCAGAATGGTACAGTCACTTTGGAAGACAGTTTGACAGTTTCTTACAAAGCTAAACATAGTCTTACCATATGATCTAGCAGTCATGTTCCTAAGTACTTACCCAATTGAGCTGAAAACGTATGTCCCTACAGAAGTCTGCACATGAATGTTTACAGCAGCTTTATTCATAATCTCCAAAAACCAGAAACAACCAAGATGTCCATCCAAAGGTGAATGGGTAAGCCAACCATAGTCCATTAAAACAAAGGAATACTTGTCAGCTCCAAAAAAATC